TTTTTTTTTTTTTTTATATATATTACTTAAAATTTTTCATTTACCTAACTAAACAACGAAGAATGATGTTCACTTATTTTTAGGGAGAACAGCTGTGAAGCCGCCTGCCTGAAGGAGGATTGTTAGCATATGTAGTAGCATAACAACTTTTAGATTGTGTTTTTTTTACCCTTTTCCTCTTGTTACTTTTCATGTATCTTTTCACGTTCACACTGTATTATTCATGTTTACAGCACTACTGTCACACCATGTAAGGCCTTCATTACCCGGAGCACATTGTGTGCATATTCACTTTGTTCCAACATTAAATGAAGAAAAAAAATCATATATCTGTACAGAGAGCTAATAAATGTGACATTTAAATATTTGACTGTGTGCTCAAAAAGCACTTAACAACTCTAAGCTACAAGATGAAGGTGTAATCAGAAATATTCATCATACAACAGAAGAGGGGAAAGTAAAAAAAGCCTTAGAACTAAAAGGTCAATCAGAACTCCCACATAAGATGATGACCAAATGGTCTTAATGTCAACATGTTTATATAAATAGTGCTGCTACTTTTGTACTTTTGGTGAGTATTAAATGTTTTCCCTGATAGAATGCACATTATCAGCAGAGGGTAATTAAACAAAGMAAACTTTTAATATGAATAACAAAAGACTACACTGGGCCTTGTTGCAGAAAAGCTACTTCTATGAAAGCATCAGCAGAGAAGCTACCAGATCGTTCCCATGTGAACAATATATAATGCATTATTAAACCATCCATCTATGCTGATGGCTTCCATCTCTGACTGTTAAGTGTTCAACCAAGATATCTGCTATAAAAGCCCTTTAGTGAAGCCCAGAGGTATAGATCATTAGAGCTGGAGGATTTCTTTACTTTTATCCCCCCCGCCTTTTTTTTTTTTGGCAGTGTCATGTCTTGTTCTGTGAATCAACAGTGAAAGTGGATCTCGTTACGTTAGTATCTAAAGGATTTAAAAATATCTAACAAAGTGAATAAAATAAAAGGAGATGTAAACCACCAATGACTGCTGTTCATTTAGATGCAATGTCAGGTTGCAATGTTATCCTAATTTTCTCTTGACTGTTTGTGAATTWGTAAATACTAAAATAAAATAAATAAAAAATAAAAAGCTCTAATATTTATCTGTGTGTGAGCCTTCAGGAGAAAGAAGATCAAGTGGAGAGTTGCCAGAWGGAGCAAGCGAACATAATTGATTAAATACACAAGACCAAAAGAGCATCTCTCCCTCTCTCCATTTCCCTGTCTACCATCCTGCCATCCATCGTCTCTCCTACAGCAAAAAATACAAACCTGCTATTTCACAGGGAGCAAGGGGGGGTAGAGGAGAGGAATGGGGGGAATAAAGAAGCACGGGGTCTGAAGTGGGGTTGGGTRGGGGGAGCCAGCAATCAATGAAGCTTAGACATTGAGACACTGAGGGAGAGAGCAGTGGAGGTTGGAAGCAGCCAGAGAAAGGCTGACAGAGGTACATCCCTATCTGCTGGCTTTTAATTATTCATCTTAGTGTTTCAGAAGAATGAAAGCACAAAAGCTGTGTTCGGAAGTCAGTCTAGGTGTGGGTAATTTATGAATAAAACATGTAAAAAAGAAATAATTTAATTGAAAAAGTAATTTTCTGCCGTTTTGAAAAAAATGACAGTAAACAGTATATTATAATCACATTAAAAGCTCATATTTTTTGTTKGTTCTGTGTTCTTTAAATATTGCAGCAAATTTACAGTGATGTTGCAAAAGAGTAAGTCAAAAGTTTTAAGGTGACRTTTGCATTTGATTTTTTTATATCTACAATTTGTATCAATTGTCATAATATCTACAGTAATCTGTAAGTGATCTTTTTTGCAAAGCTCACATTTCTATTATGCAAAACTCATAATTAGTGTAAAGAAATATTTTGCAGAAGAACTAATTTTTTACTGTGAAGTTAATTTTGTCTAATACAGTATGCATATGTTGTGATATTTTTACATACACAGCGAATTTCTCCTTTAAAATACATGTGAAATTCTTAATCAGCATCTTAATCAGTGGTAATCGTAGACATGTAGCCTACACTTTGAGGATGTATGAACTCTAAAGACTTTGATCATGATTTACAGAGTAACAGGAGGTAGAATAGTAAAGTATTTAATTCAGGCCARTGTGTGTACTGCATCAATGTTGTTCATCTAGCTTAGTTTGTGTAAGCAGACACTCATGGGAGGACACAWAATAGCTATGCTTTTTTAGTCTACAGCCCAAAGCCTGGATAGCCTACATTAAATACTTACAGTAATTGTGCAATGGCAATATTTTTCTTTCTTTATATCTTGCTATGAAAACATAATGTTTTGTTGTGTGATGCTTGATGTTTCATAAAGTAAGGTGTTTGTTGATGTGGCCCAAAACTGTGGACACCGATGCAAGTTTAAGCATGACCTCAGGGATGAAACACTAATTAGGAAGTAAAGCTCTAAAATTCCATAAAAAGTATTGAGTGTATGAGTTGTTTGTTGTGCGTTTGAGTGTTACTCCTTTCACAACATTTACAGCACATATAAAAGCTGAATTTTCCATGTGAAATCTGTTTTGTTTATCTCTTTATATGGCCGTTGGACCCACTTAACAATGGATGGCAACMCTGCTATGCTGCTCACAACCTACGCAGCCCATTAAAATGTGGCAAAATTGAG